GGAGTTGTTTTCTGCACTTTGTTTTTCCCTTCAAGAGAATGTGGGCTTTGCTGGGGCTGACTCACGCTGTTTGACCTCTGCCATAGCTGCTGCTCTGCACTTTGCTGCTGGGTTTGCTCTGTAGGTAAAATGAAGAAGGCAAAGGTTCTCTTCTGTAGTTCTCAAAAATATGCTTTTATCTCACCACAAAAAAAAATAAAGCGACTTAAGAAGCCTGGGTTAATAAAAAAAAAAAAAAATGTTCTTTGTTTTCTCTTTCCCCTGCATCAATGTAATTAGGAATCATTGCCACCCCAAAACCTTCTGACCTACAAAGCTGACCTAAAGGTTACGTGGCACAAAGCAGACCCAAAGGGTAACGGCTGGAAGGTATTCAGGTGTTGAAACCCTTGGGAGTCCTCTTGAGACTTTTTCAAAAGCAACCCAACATCAGAGCTGTTCCTATTGAGACCCAAGGATCTCTGTGCACCCGAATTACCACCGAGCACGAGTTTAACAAAATATTACCTGTGCATCGCAGGGAACAGCCCTGCAAGGCTCATCTGCTTCCAGCAAAACCAGGACTCGGCCGTGGGAGCTCTGCTTGCAGAAAGGATTGTCCCTACAGCAGGAAAGAACAGAATGGACCGGCGCTGCTTAACGGGATAAAACGTCAGAGAGAAGCAAACGGCACCGCCGGGGAGGGGGGGAGATGAGGAGCCGCTCAGCTCGGTGCGCAGCCAGGCCAAGGACGCGAATCGCTCCGCTGCAACCAAATGCGAACCCCTCTGGAGCGACGGCACCTCGCACCGGGCTTTGCGGAACGGGGAGGAAAAGCTCCGCGTTCGCTGCCGATAAGAGCCGGGGCCGCTCCGCGCTGCCAGCAGGGGGCGCCGCGATGCGCCGGGTTGGGGTGCGGAGCTGCGTCACAGCGCCGGGCAGCGGGAGCCGCAGCTGCCGACCGAGGTCTGAACGCTGAGAGCCGGCGCTGCTCATCGCTGGGTGTGAAATCTGCCCCAGTGCGGCACCGGCGGTGCGGCTCCTCGAGCGCTGCGGGGCTGCGCTGTGTGCGCTGCGCTGAGAGCCGCAGGAGAGCGGCGGCTGAAGGCACAGAACTTGCTCTGATCGCGCTGTTGTTGTTCTCGGTTCCTTCTTTAACGCGTGTGTGTGTGTGTGTGTTTTTCACGGTCTTTGGGTTTCGTGTTTTGTTGGGTTTTTTTTGAAGTGGTTTTGCAGTTATTGGGTTGGAATCATACTGGGTTGTAAACTGTCACGTACAGCTCCACTTACAGAAGCCCAGAATTTCTGTACACAGGTTCATTTTGTTCTTTGTAAATCATCTCTACTTAAAAAAAAAAATAACAATAAGAAAGATGTGTTTTAATGCAGGCATCAATTCTGCAATAGGGGAAAGGTCGGATGGGAGCAGTAACAGCAGAGCAGAGCAGATCAGCAAATGCTTTCTTACCCTGTCATGTATGTGATGCACATCTGGCTCAGCTCTTCGCAGGGAAGCCGCTGGCAGGATTGTTGTTCCCCGTTCCATATCCAATCTGCTGCATGCGTTCAACCCCATGCATGGAAGGTGGTCATACAGGCTATGGGAAGGATGCTCTGTGCATGAGCAGATGATGGCACTTCACCTTTCTCAGTTCTTCTAAGCGACCCAACTGCACCTCTTCCTCTCGTGGAATGTTCCCCTGCCCACTGGTGTTTGATATCCTCCAGGAAGGTGCTGGCAGCTCCCAATCTGAGCGGGAGCAAAGTTCAGGGAACGCTTCATAACTCTCTCCAGTCAAAACCAGCAGTCACGCACCTTCCCCACCATGGTACCCATAGTGTCCATGGGTATCTTCCTGCTGCTTCTTAGTCCCTGCCTTTCCTCTCCTATCATGCACACATGACCATCTGTCTCCGTTTCATGTTACTTCAGGCCATAAAGGATCTGTTTGTTCACCACAGACCCCTTCAGCTCAAATGAACTTGGTGGCCAAAAGGAGCAGATCTGCAGGCAGCACCCGGCCCTGACCCAGAGGGGTTTGGTGACGTGTGGGGCAGCCACCGCCCCTCTCCTCCTTCACATCTCAGCTGCAAACCAGAGATGCCAACCAGATCTCTCCCCTTTTGTTTGCATCTCTGGGTGCTTCTGCTCTCAGCTCAATTCCTGGACTGCAGGGTGAGGAAGCTGCCAGCGTGCAGAGCAGATGCTGAACTGGTCAACAGTTTTTTGTTCTGTGGAAACAAACAGCATCACGCTGTGACGCAGGCGTGAGGAAGGTGAATTCCCAGCGTCACCATGCGTGTTCCTTCCCTGCTGTGGCTGACCAGAAGGCAGCAGGGGCAGCTGTGTGCCCCCGAGGCAAACCTGCCTGCTGTGCAGATTGCTTCCTCTTCTGGGTGGATAAGAATCTTATAATAACCTCACAGTGAGATGATAATCACAAGATTCGTTTTTATCTGTTTTTTCAGGGCATCCCCTAAAACCACTCTCAGAACTCCTCTCAGCGTGGAATCCCAGCTCAGTACTGCTCTTAATGTCAGGAATTTACTTAAAATTTCACTTCTCCTATTTTGTTTGCTTGAAGAAAACCCTAAAAGCCCTCTCCAGAATAAACGTACTGACTGCACCGCATGAACCTTCCCCACACATCCCCCAGCTCAGTAACCCAAGACGTGAGGGGGTGTCTGGGCATGAGGCAGGGCTGGAGGTAGGAGATCCCAAGCCAGGCACTGCAAACAGCAAATGTCGAGGTCCCATCCCAACATAAGAGGGACATCAGTGGGAAGCGAGCACATGAGTGACATTCACCCTTAAGCCACCATTGCTCCTGTCTGGGCGACTCCAGCATCCTGCAGCAGTGGGACAAACTCTTCCATGCTGTAGAGCAGATTGCCAGCGCAGCAGAGAGCAAAGGGAGGCACTGATGCTCTGCCTGGTTTGTTCACCTGAAACTACCAGCAGCTCCAGCCAGGCTGGGGGGTTTGTGTGGGTGATTCTCTGTGCAGCTGAGATTTGTCACAAGTTTTCACTGCAGTTCACCCAAAGGAACTCCGCTGTCTCCTGAAGTCGTGCTGATGAACCCCTGTGCAGCTCTGACACTCTGACCTCTCGCTCGTGACTTTTATCACCAATTTCTGCTGTTCTTGCAGTGCAGCTGTTGCCAATCTAGGTTCTCACCTAAGACCAAAACGCCTTTTTCTCTTTTTTCTAATAGCTATTGAACGTCGGAATGCGCTGCGGTGAGCAAACAGTGCTGTGTGCCTGTTGGGCCCGGGCCTCAGAGACCCTGCGTTGTTCAAGCAGGATCACACTCCTGTAAGGGCAGCTCGTGGGATGCACACGTTAAAGGGGGAACATCAAAGAAAGTCACAGAGGCGTGAAATAGACTGCAAAGACAAGACCGTACGAGAAGATTCAGCGTCATAAGAAAAAGCGGATTGTTTTCTTCGCAGAACTGGAAATGCTTACAATGAACACTTTGCTGGAGTTGGTTCTGGCAGCGCGCGGCTCGGGGGCGCCGGGGCTTCGCACACAGAGGGAAAGGAGCTGTGAGCCGCCCCGCGCCTCTCAGTGCTCCATCGCCACTGCGGCTCTGGAGATGCACCGCAGCCACACGGCGGCCCCCCCTCCCGGCTCCCAGGGCGGTCCGTGCAGCCGGCAGCGCGTTGCTGTGCAGGCAGCGCAGAGCAGCACGACGCCCCACGCCCAGCTCTTCTGGGTATTCTGCCGGTGCTGGAGGGAAGCCTTTCATCTCTCGTCCTTATTGGCGGAAGTGGTTTGAAGGTGCAGCTCTCAAAGGCAGCGTACCTGCTAGGATAGCTGATGAACAAAAGGAAAATAGAGCAATAAAAAGTCACCGGGGTGTGAGCGGCACCTGCCTGCAGATAAGACACAAGAGAGTGCACTGAAAAGCCAGGGATCGTAGCATCATAGAGTGCCTTGGGTCGGAAGGGACCTCCAGGATCACGGAGCTCCATGCTGCAGGCAGGGATGTATGTGTGGGGCAGGGAAACTGTAAAAGCAAAGCCAAATAAAGGGGTGACAGCTGTCAGGTGCCTGAGCTGCAGTGAGTCCACGTGGTGTGCAGGGCTGGGGAGGACGCCAGGATGAGGGAAGGACCGCAGTGGGATCGGCCTCCTAGGAAGGAAATGCTGAGGGGGGACTGCAGCGAGAGCCGGGTGGGCACAGGGCTGGGGAGGGGCTGCAGCTGAAGCCTGGGAGACCCCCGAGTGATCTGTGACTGCTGATGTGTTTAACTGGGGCTTAGGAGCTGGGAGGTGAGGTTCTGCTGCAAGCTGAGGCAGTCAGTCTCGAAGGCATGGCAGCAAGCGCTCAGCAGCTTTAGGGTTACTCTGAAATAAAACTCAGATTCTAGTGAGGTCCTGTTTTAGCTGTGGTTAACCATTACAGTATCTTCATTCTAATATGATACACATTTATTCAGAACCCCATCTTCAGGTCTTTCTGTGCTAAACTACACGAAAGGAAATCATGTCAGCCCTCCTCAGTGCCCCAGACTTGCAGGGGCTGTGGGGCTCCAGTGCTGAGAAGAGTTGTTCTCGGCTGGGATGTGCAGACAGCTGGATTCTGCTATGGGAAGCTACCCGAGTGTTGGTGTCTCTCCCAATTACACTGCTGCAATTCCCCTGCTCCCTGTGAACAAACCCCATGTGAAACCCACTCTGGTTGGCAGGACGCTGCTCGGATCACGAGGCAGGCACTGCTCAGAGCTGGACACCGGCTGCCCAGCGTGGGTTCTGACAGCGGCTGCTGGATTCAGTTTGCTGCAGAGCACGTTATCTGTACATCAGCTGCAGTACAATGTAGGCAGGACAGGGTTTCCTTTTCTTATTTCTCTGGTTATGTTTCTACCTGTCAGAAGAACAGTTCCAAGAAGCGGCATCCAGCTCAAACAGCCACAAACAGCCACTGAGTGACACTGAGCCACTGCCCTCAGGAATGGGATGAGCCAAAGTGAATCCCTGCAGTGTGAGCTCCTCCCGGGCTCCGCTGAGCTCAGACCTCTGCAGCAGCGTGATGCTGGGGAAGGCACAGGACTGCAGATGTGCAAAACCTCTTAGAGGAAGGTGGCGTGCGCCGAGCCTCAGCAGATGGTACAGCAAAACCACCAGAAAGCAGAAAGAGGTGGGGAAGCCCACTTGCTTGGGGGGGTGCTGATGCGGACAGGCAGAAGGGCTGCGCGATGGGACGGCTGTCGTGTGGTGGGTGGACACCTTTCCTAGAAAGGGCTGAGTGGAAATGGGAAACTTCCCTGTTTCCTGCAGCACCGCGTTCTGAGTGACGAAGCAGGCTCTGCTGTGGAAACCCTGCTCCCGTCCCTTTGCCACATTCCAAGTGCAAATGCAGGAGCTGCTTTGCTCCGTGAGCTCTCAGAATGGAGCGTGTGGACGCGTGCAGCCCTCAGAGCGCGCTGAGGAAGGACCTGAGCATGAGTGCATGCAGGGAGCACGGGGAGCAGCACAGCAATCCGAGAGCACGAGGAGGAGGAGGGTCTGACTGTCAGCACGTCACCGGGCTCTTGCCGAGGTGCAGGAAGTATAAAAGGCCGTTTCCCGAAGAGGGGCTCAGGCAGGAGCTGGCGCTCACCCAGGCTGCGCTGTGCAGACGATGCTCTCAGCAGCACCGTGACTTTGGCTGTTAGAAACAAGACCATGGACGGCGGTGAGTACCTGCCCTGCCTTCATCTGCGTCTTTATTAATAGGGAGAATGCCCAAATCCATGCCCTGGGGCACAGGATTATTCAATATAAAAGGGTTTAATTTTCCTTCTGTGTGCTCTGAACGAGAGGACTCAGCCAAAACCATCTTCTCCACAAGAAGACAAAGAGCACAAATCTCACAGATCTCAGGTCAATTTGCTTCCAAACCATAAAAAAAGGGCAGCCTGGGGGAATTTCAAGGAGGCTCTGCTGTCCAAAAGCGAGTTCTTCCCATGCCATTCCTATCTTTTTCTCATGTTTCTTTATAAGACCTTCCATCTCCTTGGTGATGCTACGCTCCCATGGATAAATCAAGGGATGGGAGTTTCCTCTTGTCTAAACCTCCTCGCTTATTGAAATTTGTGTGACTGAATATCTTCACTGCAGCCACCAAATCTTGAACCAGTGCAAAAATCGGGCTTTGCATTTGCCTGCACCTGGAGCAGCCTGAGCTGGGGCACAGCGTGGGTCTGCACTGCAGCAGAGCGCCCTGCCATGGGAGCGAGGCGCTGCTCTTTGGCACTTGCTGTGTCCCCGGCAGCACGGCAGCACGAGGCTGTCTGCTCCTTGCACGTCTCACACTTTGCCAGCTCACACCAGCGCCCTGCAGGCCCGGCTGGGGATGTGCAGCACTGCTGCTGAGCAGGTAGCAGCCGAGCCGATCCCCTCTCCTATGTGAGCCTCTGCAATTGACTTATCTCTGTTTATTCTGCTTCTTGAATCTCAGTTTCCTAAGAGGGGTGGAAACAGATCATCAACGTGTCTGACTGAGATCTGTGAGTGCATGAAGCAAACCGTGCGACACGGTTCTGCTACCCTCCCTCTGGCCCATCTTTCCTGTCTGCAGTGAGAAGTAGGGGGGAAAGAAGGGGGAAACTGGCACTGAGCTGTTAACTGCCAAAAGTCATTCTATTGTTTAAGTATGATTAATCCTTCTCAGAAATATCCGGTTCTTTCCCCAAAAGCCAACGATAGTGATGGTGAAGAGGCACCAGAAACCCGAATACGGGTAGAGATCTCGGCGGGACGTTGCTCACTGCCCACACGTGCGCTGAGCTGCACTTTGCAGTCCTGGCCACCAGGAACAAAAGATCCTTTGCCCACGAGGGTTTAACAGAGCAGGTTTGCTCCCCTCCTGCTCTCGCCCTGTGCATGCAGACCAGCTGCAGCCCTGCACTGAGCCGGGGCCGCCATCTCCTCGCAGTTCATCTGATGGATGTGGTGCTGAGCTGCCCGCTCCCCTCTGCACAGAGCAGTTCTTTCCCCCTCCATTCCCACGGCCTGCAGCAGGGCAATGTGCTCCTGAGGGCTGCAGCAGTGCAGCGCTGCCGAGGGAGGTGGGGGCTCGCTGGGGGCTTGGGGGCACGTCCTGACTCAGTGCACTGAGTTGGCTGAGTGTTGAGAAGGGAGGCTGCTGCTCCAACTGTTACAGGGACTTTTGAAGGGGTTTTTTTCTTAATATTTTGAGGAACGAAACTTTACGAAAAAACCCACAGCTGAGAACTGCCAGAGGCCAGAAAACGTACAGCTACCTAAAACTGCCCATTAAACTCCAAAGTGGGCCTCATTTCCTCTCTACAGCCCATTTGCTTCTGCTCCCCTCTCCCTCCCGCCCTGCCCCAGGCTCCTGCAAGCACAGCACCAAGAAATGAGTCCCATCCTTAATGTGAAAGTGGTGACTCAAGGACCCGCACTGCCCCTTTTGCCTTTGCAAATGTGTAAGCTGGGGTGAGGGGATGGAAAGTGCAAGCCTTTTTATACTGAAAATCATCTGACATTTAAGATACGTGAAACAGCAGCTGAGGAAAAAAAAAGTGAAGCTCTTCAAAGGAATGATACCTGGCTGATCTGTTTGCAGATCGTTAGTTGAGTCACTTTGTTATCAGCTCTATTTCTGTTAGGCACCTCAAAGGGTGATGCTGGTAAAAAAAAGGCAGCTCTCCACTGCTGTGCATTTGTGCCCATCAGGTGGGCCAGGGGCCGGACTGGGTACAGGCACTGGGGAGGGGAGATGCAGGGGAAGGCGCTGCTGCTCCTGGACAAGCACACAGTGCTGCTGCACCAGCGTGGAACCAGGAGGCAGGCTGTGCTCCCTGCGTGGGACAGGAGGGAGGCGGATTCAGGTGTCCTCGCCATGGGGACCGGCGGCTCTTCTCTGCCTCCCTTCCACACAGCCTCTAGGAGTTAAATCACCTCTGAGGCCCCAGCTCCCAGAAGCGACAGCCAGCAGAGGTAGCAGCACCGCCAGCAGGCATGAGCCCCATCCCAGTCCCTGGGAAGCCAGAAGCTTGGTGGAGAGCATCGCTTGGCACCAACTGTGTTTTTGCCAGGGCAGTGACCCCGTGCCAGCAACCCAGGCACCTGAGGCTGATTGAACACAGGCAGAGGGTTTCAGCAGTTTGGGCTTGCAGTGCATTCTCCTGGTCCGGTGCAGCACCAGCACAGGAACCGGCAGAGCTGGGAAGGGTGTGAAGGAGCTCTGAGGCAGCAAACAGCAATCCAGAGCAGAGCTGTGCATGTGGCTGCTGAGCACCGAGGGGCAAAGGGTTCAGCCAAACTTCTGAACAAATGCTCATCTGTGAGGACAACAGCACGGTCACCAGAGGAAACGGGCAGCCACAGCCAGAGGCATCTCCTGCCTGAGGGTGGGCCCTGCTCAGCAATCCCAGAGCAGGTGATCACAGGAGGCAGGGGCTGCAGCATGGGGGGCTGCCTTGTGCCGTGCAGACAGTGGCAGAACTCTCTGAGCTGGAGGAGACCCTCAGGGATCACAGAGTTCAGTGCCACACATCCAGGCAGACACAGCTCACAGCTGCCAGGTTGCCTCCTAGCTTCAGCAATTTTCGGTCACAACTGCCTGAGGTAGATGCTGGCATGTGCTTTAAATAGAGAGAAGAGAAAGCTTTCACTGGCCTCTATGTCTCTACTAACCACAGCAGGAAGAGCTGTTTGTCTGAGATTGCTCTCACATCTGGCTCTGAATTTAATTTTCCTCCCAGCTGACAGCGTGCTGCATCTCCACATCCAAAGGCAGCAGAAGCCAGCTCTGACATTTAGACAAGCAATAAATTTCAGCCAGCTTCGGCTCCGTACTTCAGCAGGGAGCAGAGCCTTCCTGATCTGCAGTCCGGTCAGCACACTGCCAGGATCAGCCGTGCCAAACTGACTGCACTCACAGCTGTGTTTGTACACACACTGAGTGTGCTTCACCCTCAGCTCAGAGCTCAGGAGATGGGCTGCTGGCTGCACCCTTCAGGAGCATGAAGCTGTCAGCTTGGGGGGTGAGGAGGAAAGAGAAAGAAGTCTGCAGTAAAAATGGTTACACTGCGCTAATTGTCGTCAGCCATCAGATGAGGCTGCAGAGGCCGGGCTTCAGAGACTCAATCGGTGCTCTGACAGTGGCTTGGTGCACGACCCCAGGTTGTCCTGTGAGCATCTTCATCGCCTTTTCTGTCTGTGCAGCTGCAGGGAGCTTTGCAGAGTTCAGAATGCCACAGCCAAGTGTGCTACCTCTGCTTTTCAAGCAGAAATCCCGACCTGACTGCTAACACGGTGTCTTCTTCTTCCTTAGGTAAACAGCTGAAGGTCACCCTTGCTTTCAGCCTTCCTCTAATTTTTCAGGTAAGATGTTGAAAACAGTGTTGTTGAAATGCAGCTGCATTTGTGTTGTGGGTGAAGAGAGATCTCAGAAACAGGCAAAACAGCCACCCACAGCCCCAGAGAGACCCGTGGGGCACACGGCTGCTCACACTCATAACCCAGCACCCAGAGGTGGGCGGTGAGGGCAGAGTTAAAACCAGAGGGAAAGCAAACGAAAGGGATGACATCAACGAAAGAACAAAAACAACAGGATAAACAGATCTTAAGGCAGTCCCGACTGTTAGAACCGAGTCCCATCCTCACAGCAGTGTGTGCAGTGAAGAACCAAGCACCGCACGCAGGTGTTCCCAGCTCCCGGACCCAGCGCTGCGCTTTGACCGGCGTCAGTCCTGAAGGGCCGATGCGCCCGGGCAAAGCAGGCGCCCTCCTCCATGTTTTCCTGCTCAGAGCCGGTGTGAAGCAGCAAGGAGGAGCCCAATGCTGTGACCCGCTCCTGACCTGCAGGCCGGCCCCCAGCACTCACGCTCCTGCAACCACAGCAGCAGCCTCAACCCCGCCACCGTCCCCGGCTCGGGCTCCCTGAGGCTCCGCGAGGCCTGCACTCTGCTTTCCCCTTTCACTTCTGGCGGCGTGCCTCCAGATTGCACGCAGGATGTGGTGAAAGCCAGGCCTGCCTGAGACGGAGCGTGCTGAGAGATTGGTGATAAGGGCAGAGGTATCCAGGGGAAACCTTTCATCTCCGAGCAATGGGGAGAAGGTTCTGGAGAGCGATGGCTCACGGAAAGCAGGGCAGAGCCACCGCAGGCTCACTCTGCTCTGCTGAGCGTGGCAGTGTAGGAAGATGAAACAAGAATAATCAGAACTGAAATCGGGGCAGGGGCTGTGAATGAGATGCCAGCAACCCATCCATGTCAGCACGGCAACCATTTCCTGCTTTGCTGGCCGCGTTTCCTCGCAGTTTCATTGACACCTCTATTCGCTCAGCAGAAACAACAGCCGAGGGAGGCAGGGAGGCTCCGGCTTTGCCTTCCAGCAGAGCCCTTTGTGTGCAGCCCCGCCGCCTGCAGGCTCAGCCCTGGTGGGAGCAGGGAGTAGAAGGCCAGGGAGCCGTGGGAACCCCGGTGCTCGCAATGCCAGGGTGCTGATGGCCGTGAGCAGCTCCTGGCACTGCCATGAGAAGTGCATGTGAGCAACAGGAGTATCTCAGATGGGGAAGGGAGGTGAACTGAAGCTAGAAAATGCCAAACAAGTAGACTCAGTCAGGAGGAAGTTTTTGCTGAGAGAAGGAGAACAGCAAAGGCTGTGTTATTTTTCCATTTCATCTAACAGCTGACCGTGTACATAACGCTGTGTTTGGGTCCTGATGCATTCTGGATAACAGCCACACATTCCAGAGTTTCAGGTGTTATACTGATTGCACACTAACTTTTCTTGCTGAATTCCCGTGATGAGCCCCCAAGAACCCCAAACCCCACGTATTTATCCACGCTGTCAGCCATGAGACAACTCTGCTCCCTAGGACATCCCTGGCCACGGCTGGGTGCTGCTGATGTACAGGCTGACATCAGTCCCCCGCTGGAAAACACTGAGGGACAGGGGCGGTGCGGTACCTGTCTCAATGGCTTTGTTCCTTCCCTGTTCTAGTTCTGTGCTGGGAACAACGTCACTGACGACTACGACGCCAACACCACCATTGACTACAACATGTTTGAGATCCTGTGTGAGAAGAAGGAAGTCCGTGATTTCCGTGCCGCCTTCCTCCCAGCCATGTACTCTCTCATCTGCTTCACGGGGCTGCTGGGAAACGGGCTGGTGATGCTCACCTACATCTACTTCAAGCGGCTAAAGACCATGACAGACATCTACTTGCTGAACCTGGCCCTGGCAGACATCCTGTTCCTGCTGACCCTCCCATTTTGGGCCACGAGTGCGGCCACGTTCTGGTGTTTTGGAGAATTTGCCTGCAAAGCAGTCTACTGCATCTGCAAAATGAGCTTCTTCAGCGGGATGCTGCTCCTGCTGTCCATCAGCATCGACAGGTACTTCGCCATTGTTCAGGCTGCCTCCGCCCACCGCTTCCGCCCCCGGATGATATTCATTAGCAAAGTCACGTGCATCCTCATTTGGCTCCTGGCCTTCGTTCTCTCAATCCCCGAGCTGGTTCACAGCGGTGTAAATAACTACGACAGCCACCCCCGGTGCTCCATCATTGCTAACGACTTGCAGACTTTCAACACTGGCATCAAAGTGTCCCAGATGGTTTTTGGCTTCTTGATTCCCCTGGCGGTCATGTCTGTCTGCTACCTCATCATTATCAAAACGCTGCTCCAGGCCCGAAACTTCGAGAAGAACAAAGCCATCAAGGTGATCATTGCGGTGGTCATCGTCTTCGTCGTCTTCCAGCTGCCCTACAACGGCGTCATGCTGGCCAAGACCATCTCAGTCTTCAACAACACCAGCTCATGCGAGCAGAGCAAGAAGCTTGACATGGCAGACGATGTGACCTACACTCTAGCCTGCTTCCGATGCTGCCTCAATCCCTTCCTCTACGCCTTCATAGGCGTCAAATTCCGCAATGACCTCTTCAAGCTCTTGAAGGAGCTGGGCTGCCTGAGCCAGGAGCGCCTCTGGCAGCTGTCGTCCTGCCGTGAGAGCAAGAGGTTCTCCTTTGCCATGGAGACAGAGACGACCACCACCTTCTCCCCGTGAGGAGAGCTCCAGGAAGGCTGAAGGCTGGTGTCGTTTTGTACACTTCTACTTTGAATTACTGATAAAGACTTGCCATTACTTTAGGGAGGGCAGCTGCAAAAGGAAGACCAAAGAACCTCTCCATATCGCAGCCAACGAGCTTTGCTATCCAGTGTTTTCACGGATGGAGAGACTTCAGTAAAAGCTGTGACTCACAGTGAAGTAAGGGAGAGGTTCAGTGAGTTCAGAGTTCATCATGCCATTTCACCCCTATTTCCTAGCCAAAATCAAAAATGCTCGGAATGGTTCATTTCATTAAAAGCAACAAATAGCAAGAGAAGCAGACACAAGTGCTACAGAATTACTAGTTTAGAGCTGGATTTCCAAGAGCACCGCCCTTGCTTTGCATGTTGCATTTGACACAACTCCCTACTGCTCTTCCACACACACACAAACGATGCTCACTGCGCAGAACAGCACCAGCAGCCTCAAGCTCCCGATGCAATACAGCACGCAGTGTAAGCTGTGAGGTGTCCCAGCAGGCAACTCTCAGCCATGCCTTCCTCCAGAAACAGTGAGAAACTTGCATAACCAAAACTAAATTCACACATATGATGTGTATTCAATAACTGCATGTTACTGTGGCATCTCAGGTTTGTCCACTTCACTTCTGCCTGCAGCAATGACGTCTGGTGCTTCAGCTCCTAGGGAGCTCTGCTTATTGCCTCCCAGTGTTCACTTGCATTCTTTGGGAATGCTGCTTCAGTTTGGCAATACAGCCTTCTTCAGCTTCTGCAAAGGCATCTGCCTGCACAAGAGCTAGCTAGCACAGTTTAGATTCCAATGTTTGCACAGAGACGAGTTCTTTACAAGTACAAAATTGCTGAGGCCTCCCCAGTCACCAGTCACACAAACTGGAACCAAGAAACAAAACTTCAGTGACGGGTACTTAAATACACTTTTAGCACCCGGTCCTTCAGCCTGTCCTCACACCAGCCTTACTCCTGACACGCTGAGGGAGCCTTTAAGCTGTTGTGAAAGCATCTTTGTTTCTGTGCTTTGGCAGACTGCTGCCACAATGCTCAGCATTCGAGCCCAGGACAAGTTTCAATATATTTCTTAGTGCAAGACTTAGGTTAGGATGTATCTGTGCCCACGGTCTGACCCCTGCAACATGTCAGAATCCAAAGCTTGCTCCTCTCCAGCCTTATCAGCTGTGTGGACACAGCCTGCTGACTGTCACATATGTGTGGGGGCTTTCTGTGCTGCTGCTTGCTGACCTCAAGAGATAATATCACAAGTGTGGGTTTTCTTCTCCTTTATCAACCAACGTGTCTTTCTAGAAGAACTTTAGCAGCTGTCTTTTCTGTAAGTCAGATACGTATTTCACTTATAAGCTACTGAAAATGTGCTTAGCATTCGTGCTGTCACTTCTGATCAAGATGCCATTCACTGCAGTTTGATTTAACTGCAAAGGACAGTGGGGTGCTGCAGGTTACTGCTGGGTCAGGACTTGAAGGGAACATGGCAGCTGAACAACAGACGGCTGCCATGTAAAACAAGGCCTTGAAAAGAAGCCTTGAGCGTGATGCCATTTACCAGGAGGAGGAAGATTCCCACAACAAAAGCACCCTGAGAACTGCTGTTACGGGACATCTGAGCATCAGCTGGGAGGAGCTGCTGCAATCCTCTGTGCATCTGTTGCCCATTTCCAGGCTCTGCCCCGCACAGCACGCAGCTCTCCCCAGCTCCCAGCGCCATGGCTGAAGGCCTTGGCCACAAACTGCGGGCAGGGCGCCCGGCCCACCTTCCACAGCAGCAGGGGAGCAGCTCTGCTCGGCGGCACCTGAGGCAGGTTGCTGTGGACGTGCAGAGCCTGCAGAGCAAACATCCCAACAGTCACCTCTTCCAGCGCCACTCACAGGAGCATCCGGAGGAACAAATCTCGTTCTGGGACAGGGCACAACCAGCCCTCAGACACAGAACCCAGTGAATTCAGGAGGAAAGCACTCTGCTCTGATTAACCTGCCTATGTTGAATAACAATCCCACCCTCTTGTTCCAAGCATTTTCTTTTACAATGCCCGTTTAACATGTACAATACATGCTGCTTCTCAATCATATTAAAGGGGGGTTGAGACTGACACACCAAACAGTCATTTCTTCTTGATTTCCTCCTATGTTTCTTACTCAGGCAAAGAAAAGTTGGCCAGAGTAAGGAACACCTGTCATACAGGCTCCTCTTCGTTTTCTCCAGTAACAATGCACTCTTCATGTATACTTACATATGTAAAGCTGCTTTCCATAGAAAAATTTCAATATGTACATGAATGTACCCTGAAATACGCTGCTTTCACTAAATCTTTTTTTGCATAACACACTCCCCTAACTTATTCTAGCAGGGAAAACTGCCTCACCAAAACTTGTACCTGTAACCTGTTTAACAGAAACCATTTCCTTCCCAAAAATGCAAAGTTTTCAGGTCTTTGCCAACTGGACGCATTCTGAATAGGGAAATAAAGCAGCTGCCTTTGTAAGAATGAGAAACCAAAGCAGCATCTGGGGCAGCGCTGAGCTCTGAGCAGATGAAGGCAGCCGCCAGATGGATCCCACGATGTGAACCTGAGGCTTCTCCAATGCAGACTGAGAACTGACTGTACGTTGCTACTCAATGGAAATAAATTATGACCATTTTGAAAATACTGTTGCTTTTTCCTCGTGTATTTCCTCACAGGATGCATCTTGTGTGCATCGCAGCAGCTCGTGCCACGTCCTTCTGCACTGGCCAGGAGCTGCTTGTTATCACCCCAGCGTTGTGTCAGCACTGCTCTGCAGGGGGAAAAAAGAAAAAGACAAAGTGTGTAAGCAGTCTAGAAAAAGAAAAAAAGTTGGTTTACTAATTATAAAGCAAACAAGTCAGAAATGGGTTTAGTAGTGGTGCCTGTCTTTATTTTTACTCTCAGTGTCTCCATGCTGTTCCAGCATTGGATGTACCTGGTGGTTACATACATAAAAGGCCTTCATGTTTACAGGGTCAGTAACAAAAACAGCACAGGCTGTGAAGTGCTCACAGGGAGAGGGGCTGCATGGAGCAGCACAGCAGCAACTGCTGCACTCCGACGTCCAGCAGGGCAACCTGCACCGAGAGCAATTCTTCCTCAAGGGGCACAGAGACAGTCATCATCCTGCACAAAAACTGCCCTACAGCTGCAAGGTGGAATCAAAGAGAAGAGCAGAGCTGTGGAGGGAAGGCCTTGTCACCACACAAAAGAATGAGCTGGAGTTAGTGAGGCAAACAAAGCCTAAAAATAATGCACGTGGGTGATGAGGAAGGGTGGTGGCACTTTGCAGCAGTCAGAATAGATGAGGGTGGGCCATAGTTTCCTCTCCCCATCTCTTCTTTTATATGGAAAAACAACCGAAGGCCCATTCGGCCCCATGTTCGGCCCCAACAACCTCAGGGCGGAGGTTTCAGATCTCGGGGAAGAACCTCTTCCATGGGCAAGAATTGCCCCCAGGTGCTTCTGGCTGCCTGCCTGCCCTCCATCCCGCAGCGCTTCTCCCTTCCCAGCTGAGGTCTCAGCGCCTCGTCCTTGTTCCATCACAGCAGCCTCCATATATATGATTCCATCACAGCAGCTTCTTCCCCAGGCACGAAACCAGAGATCAAAATGTCCTGATGCAAAAGCAGTAATCAGGAGCACCTGGCTGTATTCTGGTACCGCGCACAGGAGCTTCCCATCCTCCTGCTGAAAGAGAAAAGCACTCCTAACATGCTTAGATGCTTCAAAGTGGGAGTTCACAAGCACAGCTCTGGTAGCAGCCTAACCTATTTTCAAGCCACGTGAAAAGTTGGTTTTCACTTTCACCTTCCAGTACGACCCCAGCTCTGCACAGAGCCAAGGCTGCTACCAGAGCAGGGAGTCAAACCCCTGCTAATTAAACAACACCTGCCATTGCCACAGCTTGCTACAGAAATCCTCTTCAGGTCTCAACAAGCACGGTGGCTTTGGGTTCACCTCCACCACATGCATGGCAGATTCAGAGCCAATCGAGGCATGATCTCACGTATTTGTCACTGCTGAACCCATGCAAATCCTCAGCCTGCAGGAACCGAAACTCTTAACTTACCTCCTTGCTGCTTTGGTTGTTGTTTTCTTTTTTAATTCAATTGTCTAAAATAAGAAAGCAAGCAGATATTTACTTTCCTTTCTTTGCTGACACGCCGTTACATAAACCCGAATTTCTGAGTGCTGATACGCTTGGCTGGGAAAATTCTGTGACTAAAGACCACGTCCAGCATCCAAAATCATCCTGCCAGGGGGGAAAGGCCCAAATCACCTCCAGTGCCACATGGAATCCAAAGAGCCTCCGGGATTCAAAGTCTGCACACATCTGGTTATCAAAACCAGAGCTCCTACGGATCCTCGCTCTTCCTTCTTCAACCAGGAGCTTGCTCTAAAATCCACTGAAAGCAACAGAAACTCACGAAGGCTCTCTGCGTTACCTGGGAGCGGGTGTGAATTTGTCATGCTCTGCAACAGGCAGCAGAATCCCAACAGCTGAATCCACACAGCCAGGTGCAGTTCTGAGAAGAGCACAGGGAAGAGCAGCCATGGACTGCATTCATCCCCACGGGCAGAGAGTTTCAGCAGCTCTGCCAGAAGAGCAGATGAGCTCCATACGCGTCTGCTAAGGCCCAGGGAGCCCAGAGCTGCTGCAGAAGCCCGGTGCCACTGCTCCTGCTGCCCGTGCCTGTCCTGCAGGCAGCTGTGCTCCTCTGGGACACAGCTCTCATTTACACCACTTGAGTCAACAGCTCCACGAGGCTGAGTGCTCCAGAGAAGCAGAAATGTTCTGCTCCAAAGCTCTTCATGGGGCACAGTAAAAAATAACATTTTCACCAGAACAGATGAGTCACAAGTCAAAGTGCCTCATCCAAAGACCCTAAGCTGTCATTTCCAAGAAATGCTGCTGCTTTTGTGTGCTTCTCACACCCAACAAAGGCAACAGAATTCCCACCCAATCATCTGAAAGGAAGATGCTGATTTAGACATACAAAAATCAGCGTTTAACCAGATAGCATCAACTGCTTCCTCTGATTTTGATCCCGTTGGCTTTGTGCGATCTCAAAATCAAATTTAGACACTCTGGTTTACAAATTTTAATTACAAGGAAAGCAAATATTCCCATCCTCAGCCTCCACCAGGCACATACAGCCCCATGGCAGCGGGGACATGGGGCTCCCAGCCCCCCACTCCCTCTGCCTTCCCCCCCAGGTAGCACAGCAGAACGCCTGCTGCTCTGCATCTTATCACAGGGCATCTGACATCTACATGAGAACGTTAATGTGGAAGGAGGTGTGAGCACACACGTGCTCAGGTCTGCTTTTGTCTCCCAGCAGAACTGGTTTCAGACTCCAGGGGCTCTGGCAGCAAAATTAAACGCCCCGCTCAATCTCGCCACCAGAGCTGTGCAAATGAAAGCTTGTGTTTTTAGGGGAGCGTTGACTGATTCCCTTCAAGATAACAAGTTTCTTCTTCTAACTTGCGGCCACACCGAGCAGTGAGAAAGAATCTCTACCCCCGTGCCAGGGCGGGGAGGGGGAGAAGGAAAAACAAGTCTCTTTCTGGATGACTAACACAGCCAGCAGCGATTGCCACTCTGCAGCTCAGCCCCGCTCTTCAACAGGGAGTTACACAAAGCTCCTTTGAAGAGGTTAACACATTCGCAGTCGATGCTCTCTGCATCACCAGGGGGTCGCAGGGAGCTGCAGTGCTCATGCTCGCACTTCAGGACCTGACTGCATGCAGAGGCAACCTTCACCAAAAGTCACGGCGCTGTGCTCTGACTGCCACAGCTTCCACCAGGCTGGGACGGGATGGCAGCAGGCCTGGTGAACAACCAGACCCTCACAAGGGTCACCAGAATGTCTCTGCTGCCAGCAGCTGCTGGCAAGGCTCCACACTCACCTGCAGTTGAGCAGCCAGTGGCCAAGCATCGCTGCAAGACCTGGGGGCTGCTTTGGAGCGTGCAGCCAGTGACAAACAACAAAGGTGTCCCAGCCATCAGAAGCAAGATGTGAGATGCCACCAGGCCGTGCCTCCTCTGCTGGGTGCCCTGGGGCACGATGTGGGCTGCAGCCAGGGCGCAACTCCATCGGCTCAGCCCCCATCCACCAGAGCACAGTGACGATGCATTGTGAGGCAGCAGCGCTGCAGACAAGCTGTTCCACCTGGGGCTTCTGGCACCTGCTCACCCCAGACCTGCTCCAAAGCAGCCGCAGTCTGCACCAGCACGACCAGGGGCAGCAGCTCCCTGCACACAGTGTCTCCATGGGGAGGCTGCGACTTTCTCTGGTTGCAGTCTAGCCAGACAAACCACGCCATGCCCCCTGTAACAGTGGCACAAAAGGAGCCCTTCCTCACAAAGCATTTCCTTCTGCAGACATGCACGAGGTTTGTCAGCCACGGCACCTGCCCTGAAACACGCTGCGACCTGAAGCAAGCCAACAGGACCAACAGCAGCTGTTTCTTTGAGAGATGCTGACACCGCGTGGGAAAGGCTGAGAAGTGCTCAGCACAGGCGGCACCTCGCTGCTCACAGCGCAGCCTGGGAGTCCTGCAAAAAAATCATGAACTTTTATCCTCTGAAACAAAGCTGGGGGTTCAAAAAGCGAGTAAAGTCACACTGAAGCGCTACGTGAGCAGTCAAGCTTGCTTTAATTAAAATACACTGGAAGCACTTTTAACAGGGGCTTGATTAGTTCTGAAATGTAACCTGAAGATTTTACCGCCTCCATTTCAACTTCAAACACACCTACTGCAAAATGAAACCTCCCTGACTCCACGGGGGTTGGCTCTGATGGTGCCTCTTCTGTCTGCACAGACAAAGAAGTCCTTTCTTCGTGCCTTTCTGCAGCACTGAAATGAACAAAAAC